TGTTGTCGCCCTGTTGATGATGTCAGCTACGCGGTTTTGTCGAGCGCGCTTTAGTCGAACGCGGTTTTGTGGTGGAACCCTTTCTAACATTACTTTTGCCCTTTCCTCTGATCAGTTTGAGGTTATGCCCCATGTTCTCGATGTTTGCTTAATATCTTGATTTTTTTATTAATAGCATAATTCATAAATTGCCTAGAATCACTGGAAATTGGACAGCTTTGTAAACTAAATAATAAATATGAAATAACACATGCCACTTTGAATTCTTAAACAAAAGATTGTATGCAAAACTAACAAATAATATTTTCCATTGTCACTATTACTGATCCAAGCATAGGACAGAAATAAAAGAACTATTTTTTTGTTTATCCGGGTATTATGTATTGCAGACAGCAAGTTATTGGTTTGGGATGGCATTATAGACATAACCCTACTGAAATAATTAGGTAAAGATTTTAAATGCTACTTTAATCTTACCCAATTAAAAAAAATTATTTTATAGGAACTCAATTTACAAATGGTTGTGTAGAGAATGGCAACAACGTATTTGAAGAACAGAAAAGAAGTAGATTTTTATTACTCTGATATAAAAATAAACATTAATAGTTCCAAATAGTTTTATAAGAAAGTGGTAATAATTGCATTTCATGAGAAAATATAAAATGGATCCTTTAAATAAAATACAGATAGCACACTTCAGAGAATATGACCACACTAAAATAAGAAAGCATAGTTAATATTGCTTACCAATTATATCATTTAAATTTTTTAAAACTAAATTTTATATCCAAATATAGATTACAATCGATTTCCCTCTATAATTTGCATTGCTTTCAACATTTCTTCCAATTCAAAGAACCACTTTGTATGCTTTGCTTATCCACTGTAATGCTATTCTCTATAAGGAAACATTTGAAATGCTCAAAGTTATTCCTAGTATAGATAACAAAAATTACAGAAGAGACCAAGAAAGTTCATGGTTCAAACATGTCAATAATGAGACAACAAATTGCTGGTATTAACAATAATATTGTATTTCATAATCTTTTTAAAAGAAAGAATAAACCTACGTATAATTTTGACATTCATTAGCATTTATATTTCTACATTGGAAAAATAATACATCTCTCTCATAAGTAGTATAATAACAAAATACATCTTAAATTTTAGAGGTAGAAATTACCTTAGAATTTGCCTATTACTCACTCATACATATAGTACATTTGATGTACATTTGATAAAATATTGCATTCAGTAATTAAAGCAGCTGATAACAAACACAAAACACCAAAAATGTAGCCATCATAATTGGAACTATTTCCCTCGCCTGTTTAAATACCTAATCCTTGTTAGTTGATATGAAATAGTCTATCAATCTTTGATCTCTACCTTGACATGATTCATCAAACTAGCAAACTTCCAGTTAACTGGAATTATGCATTTTTTTCCCCCAACTTGGAAGCCGAAGTTGCCAGATTCAGAACAAACCATAATATTAAACATGAGACTGACTTTTATTATACTAACCTATTCTAAAGCAATGAATGGTAATTTTCTTTTTTAGATTAAATGAGAGAACTCTGACTAACCACGAGTGCCCGTGGTTTTTATTGTTTGCACAAGGAAGGAAAGCGTGAAATGGTTGCATAACATGCATTAAAAGAAAGTATTCTTTCCTTGGGAGCCATTAATAGGGGAGCTTTCTTTTGATCATAATACAAATGGTATGTGAATGTTACCAATTAGTGCATCCAGAACGGCACTAAATTAGTCCTACAGACCCAAGGCAAAGCTGTTTCAAAAATAATTGTCAATAGAGACAGAGGTTTTACTTCAATTTTCATTATATTTTGTTGTTCAGGACCTCACGGTCACTGAGC